TTATCATTGCGCTCTTCCCGGGTGAGGCAGTCACTCGCCAGGCATTGGATGGCAGCTCACGGTAGCTTATGGCAGCCCACTGCAGCCCCACTGCAGCCTACACCATCACCAGCAACTCACGGTAGCCCAGCTGCAGGTCGAGCTGTTGTTCACCATCCCAGCTGTAGAGGGCGCAGCATCACTGGCCCTCATGTGGGGTCCAAACCGGGGCCCTGCTGCTCAGAGCTGGCGTCCCAAGCCAACTCCTAACCAGTGCGCCACTCGGCCGGCTCACGTCTTTCTTGAATGCTTTTTAAAAAAAGGTTTTAAAGGCAATTTCAGATTGTATGTCTGCGAGTTTTTTTCTCTCTACTCCTAATATTCCTTGAAACACATGACCCCATTCATGTGTGAGCCTGTTGATTGTTGCCTGATAGTTCTTCTTCCTAAGCAGGGGGATGAGGTTTCACTTAAGTTTGTCCCTGGATTATGAGGGACGATCTTCAGTGCTCAGCGAGATTTTTACTCAGACACAGAGCTTGAACTGGAAGGAAATGTGAAGATTAACTATTAAACTGGGCATGGTTTTGTACCTCTAGCCCCAATGAGGTAAATGGAAGCAGGTTAAAAAGATGTTTCAGGAAAAGATATTGTCTCACTGCGTATCTTCTGTTAATGCTGCTTTATTTGCCATGTTAGGTTTTGTCTTCAGAACTGAATATGTATGAGTCACAGAGCCAAGAATATAAGTACGAGATCGAGAAACTCACCAATGAACTAGTAAATTTAAAGAAGAAATACCTCGCTCAGAAACGTAAAGAACACCTTCAAAAGTAAGAATTAGTCAAATGTTCTTCTAATTGTGTGGTGCCCATTACCTGCTGGCGAGAAAATATTTGGTGGACAATCACAGAGTTGCAGATTTCGCCAGGGTAAACTAAGTCATGGGGTGAACAATTGACATTCTACAGGTCACTCACTGAGTATGTATCAGAGCAAGATCAGTGTCTCATCTGATACTGAGGCCCCTTTGGGCCCTAACAGGGATAAATTAATATCTGCTCACTGGGAGACCTAACCTGGAACAGAGGAAACATAGTGTCATTCTCCCTCCCATCCCCTGCCCACATACACACATACTATTTGCACAGTTTGGAGATAATCACACCACAACTACGTTTGCAAATGAGGTTCACAATCAGCCTTATACTGGCTGAAACGTATTCACATGTAAGACCATAATTTTGCCAAGGGGCCGGGGCTTGGTGAAGTTGTTCTTTCTATAATACAGCTGTACCCCTGTAATCAGGAGCACGCATGGATAATTTTCACCTGTGTTTTAGATAAACTGTATCTGAACCATCTCTTTGTCTAGTAACTGACTTCAGTATCTGCTGTGGGGTTTCGATATGAGTTCTCCTTCTTCTAGGAGATGACAATGCAGATGGCAGGTTAACATTTTGGGTTTCAGGGTGAATGTTCTCTTCACTTTGTTCTCTTTCATTTGCCTGATCTCAGGGTGGGAGAGTGAACCCAAATGAGTCAGTAGGTTTGAACCTTGGCTTGGCTGTGTGGCATTGGCCAGATCATCTAGTTCACTCTATTGTGGCTCACCTCATGGGTTGAAAGTCAAGTTTGGTATTTTATCCCCATGGGCATTTCAAGGGACATGGTAAAAGAGGGTTTGAAGACATCTGGCTATGATTCATTAGTGGCAAATGACTATTTCAAGTAACTATATGCAAATGTATTTGCCAGTAAATATCTACCCTTCTT